GAATGAAACATAGTTGGACGGGATACATCCTCTTCAAATTACAGTCCTTCAGCTTCTTAAGTACTCGAGCTATCAACTTACCCGAAAAAACTTTGGCGGTCCCGTATGCGGGTACTACTTTTATTCGGGGGCTGGGTTTGAGCTTACTAATACCCGCTTGGACGGGGAACATCACCCTAAGATTTCAGCTTTCTTGCTTCTCAGATCCCCGAGTTATGAACTTACCCCTTTTCGGACTTCGTAATGGACTTTCCGAAAATGATGGATTCCCGACAGTTTTTTTGTCGAACAAAAAGCTTGGTTGTCGGGTTCTGTTACGGGATTTTTAATAGGATTGTTGGAATGAGCCGTAGCTTGTTCTCAGGCGGCTTTCCTCTGGTAGTTTAAATAATGTTTTATTCCCCTTTGTTCTGGCCGGGACAGAAGCATTGTGACAACTGCACGCTGTTATTAGAAAGACGATGGTGCGATGGACTTGTGAAGTAAATATCTTTACTATATAGATTAACATTATTGCTTCAGATGAGTAATGCGAAGACGGCACTTCGCAAAGTGAAATGCTCCGGGATGAGGCCTGCTGCTTGCTTTGCCGACAACTGACGCACATCATATGTAGTACATGCGAGAAAATAGCGACCGCATTCAAAGAAGTGTTGCGCGTACTTTGTGGAGAAGTCGGTGATGGTCTAGAAACGATAAACAAAAACTGAAACAAATAGGCCAGGACAGGAGAGCACCTGCACCGATCATGTGGTTGCCCTGTAATACCGTCGAGGGCTTTGTTAGGATGGTCAAAACAAAGTTGGCACATTTTTGCCATTAAAACCGCTTGGGCACTCAATGCCCACTCTCAGCTGTGGTCTGTCATCAAAATCGCTTGAATGTAGTCTTGATTTAAAAAAAAAGTTCTCAGTTTGGAAGCAACATCGATACTCTCCTCACCCTTTGTTTGCTTTTTTTAAACACCATTTCCGAAGAACTTTTTTATTTTCAACCTCAAAAGGGTAGTGAATTCCATGCATTTGTACTGTTTCATATTTCGGTGGGTATTTAGCTCAGGATTGAAAAACCTTGCATAGCTGTGCTTGGTGTGTCGGAGCATCTTAGTAATACCAGTAAGAGAGAATACTCACACTAATAATCCGAGTCTTGCTATTCTTGGTATTTTCCAGTAACAGACAAGTCTAAATGTAAAGTGGTGAAATACCCGCGCAGTTCGCTGTTTGTTTGGAAAAACAAAAATTAAGATTGCGGCAGCACTTCTAATTTTACGAAAGATCGTTCTATAAAAAAGGGATTTCGAAAAAAAGCAAGGCTGAACTTGCATAGCCAAAGTGGAGAAAGCTGCATGGTTGTCTCACAGAAATTCAGCTTTGGCTGCGCAGTTCCAAATACTGTTGTGCCTCTCGTCATTCAGGCAACTGCTTTTCCAAAACACACAAATTTGTGCAAATAACAGGCATGTAGCAATCAACATACAAGAGGGCCTTAACAATACTATGTACCCGTTCCCAGCTGTACAAGAATGGCTGTGGAATCACTGAAAACTTAGCAGAATTCGATCTGCATGCCGCCATCAGGACAGTCATCTCCACAGTTCCTTGTTCGGATACGCATCATCTTGCCGTTTTCCTTGAACTGACATAGTGACCATTCCGCCCACTGAATCTCAGTTGAATCGATCACATCCGTCTAAAACAATATAAAGTAATGTTGCGAATTCTCGAAACATACCTAAGCTTATCTTTCTCATTCTTCCAGTGCTTTCGAC